ACAGTTAAAAATATATTTACGATAGATACTACGTACTAATTTTTTTCTTATTGTTTCTACTATATTTTTAAAAATTCGCTACTTGACGTAAACCATTATATTTATACCTGCTTTGAAGTCTACAAACTAATAGCTTGACACAAAAAACTCGTATGCGTTTTCATTTTAAGATTTTGTGGTTGCGATTGCTGAAAATCAACGTAATCGCCTTTTTCTAATACAAGGTTAATAAGTTGTAGAAACTTTAATAGTTTCGAGTTTAATCCGTTAGTATGAAGTTGTAAAAAGTCTCCCTTACAAATAAGTCTTAATAAAACGTTCGATGACTTGGAACTAGTATTCACTTTTTTCGTTTTCAATGCATCCTTTACTATTACTACAGTACTTCCTGCTTTCTGGTTTTTAGTGGTCAGATTGAGTGGAATCACGGTGAGTCAGGTATTCCGTTAAACGTTTAAATGTATACTTAATTATAATTTTATCGAATATATTTTACATTATATCAAAAACTTTTCGTACATCCTCTCGATAACTTTTAAAATTAAATATGAACGCAAAACTGATATTATAAAGTTAAATTTATAGGAAGTAGTATGGGTTTGGGAAAATAAAGCCTCTATCACTGATGCTGTGACGTTAAAAGTTTTTTTGTGGTATAAGAGACTTCCGTCCATCATTAAAATATTCTTGAATGGTTAATTTTTATACAAATGTTCATTTCGTTTATTTAACGTCAACATATTTCCGCTGCGTACGGCATACTGTAACCTCATTCATTATATGGAGTAAATAAAGAAAAAAGTACATCATTCTTGTCTAAAAATGAAAATATATTAACTTTACACTCGTTGCTTAAGTGCCTAATTTTCTGTAAACTGAACTACCATTTGATAAGATCTAGACTAATTATTATACGAATGTCTTAACTAATGTTAAAAAATAAATGGGCTGTAAAGCAATTCCAAAAACTTGTTTTTCATGTATTACGGTTATATGTATCTTGAAAATTAACACACCACATTTAACAGAACGGACGAAGATTAGAATATGCGTTTGAAATATATAATTTACCATAAAAGAGGATTCGTTATCCATTTTCCTCTAAATTTTCATATAAACATTGACGAGTATAAATAAACTAATGAAATCTAGAATGAAATATAAATTCACAGAAATTGTTTTACGTTTGATAGTGGTGATCCCCATGACGAAATACACAAGCTAATTTTATAACAGATACAAACCGTTTTCATAATTTATACAGTATGTCCCTAAAATACATGTACCAGCATTTATAATTCCCGGGCTCAAAATAAGACCATTTTATTACAAACAATAATCAATGCTGTCTATAATCCTTTCAATGCGGTACCGGAAAACGTTTTTTCCAACAATTTTAAACAGCTTTCAGTTAGAGACTTCTTACTTGATTGATACACATTTTTGTTTGAGTCACTCGTAATCATACTAGAACTTAAATAGCTATTGGCGTACGGATAATAATAAAAAAAAGGTTTGGTGTCCAAAGAAAGAACACCCTATATATATTATTTTCTTTCACATGCAAGTGTTTCAAGTAAAAGTGTCTGGATCTGACTGGTTTAAAATTATATGAAGAGTTTTATTGCTTAGAGCGCTATAATATCTCAGTAGGCGTTGACTTTTGTTATACATAAGTTGGTTTAAATCGTCCTATTTTGAATCCAAGAATTTATATTGGCTCGCTGGTGCATGCACTTCAGGGATAGGTACCGTATATATTTATTTTTAGTAACAGTGAACACTTTTCGCTTTTTTTAATCAAAAGTTCCAATAGTTCAGGAAATTATTGAAATCGCAAAAGGAATTACAAATCTATTTCCTAATTGATTAGAAAATATTGTGCATCCCACATCAACAGGAAGTTTTATAGTTATTGTTTTATCATTTTAATCACAATGACATAATTATACCGTGAATGATTCTCCCGTCAATTGGAAAGTTCCAAATACACAAAAAATTGTAGCTGGGAAACACTATTATTCAACAAGCCAAGACGACTTAAAAAAATAATATCTGTACTTCTGTCAACAGCTTATCAACACATAGGTACAGCTTATGCTCAACACTGAGGGTAGACAGCTTTGAAAAATGTGTCTTTGAATCAAGATAATCAGGTTAAGTAATTGTAGATAAAGAGAAAGCAAATCTATACGATTCTTGTTATATGGTACAACTAAAAGCACGCAGGAAACATTGTTTACCCATAACTTCAACACGTTGCTTCTCATTTATTTGTGCATAATTAAAACTTATGCGGGTTATTTAAAAAACCAACAAATCTGGTTTATTATTCACATGATTTCTATAGATGCGACTCATGTTTTTTTAATAAAGAATGGGTATGCACTTGTAGTTTTTCTATAAATAGACGCCGTAAATATTTAACAGAGGAAGGTTTAGATTTATTTTAAAAGAAAACGGCATTTAACCAGCGCCTTCCAAGTTTGAGTTTCTATTAGTATTACACCGATGGTTTATTTTAAAATCTTATCTACTGTCTGCTGCATTAAAAGTTTCTTGGACAAGATACGCCGACACAGAAACTCTTTTGTTAGTAGGTTTTATGCGGGATCGTGACAAAAATTTTAACCGACTCTGCTCATGTGTATATGCTACATAAACGTTTTTAATAGTAATAAGATATCATACGAGACGCGTGATTACTGATCAGCATAATTTTATGGTACAGTAAAATTTTTGTTGCATTTTATAGCAACTATAATGACGCGTCGACGCTGAAAATTTTATGCCAGAAATAAAATGGCGGCGCATGAAATTTAATGTGTCCAGAAATTAAATCTTTTATTTAGTTCAGAAGCTGTAAAAACTCGCTCCAACCTTGTATTTGCACTTGCCACTACACATAAACGAGGATATTAATAAAAACCAATATTTATATTCCCTCATAATAAAGTAAAGAGAAGCTAGTAAGCGCTTATCTAATGCAGAAATATATTAATTGAGGTTTCGTGGCCCAATTTTGTGTTCAGCCCAAGTGGTCAATCAGACAGATATGGGGATATTTTAATTTTAGTTTAAGTCTATTTGCATCGGCTTAGTATAGTCTTTCCGATCTCAATTGAAGAACCAAGAGGTTGGCAGTAGGTATGTACCAGATTCGGTCGCTGACGCAGCAATTCGGCATTGAAATATTTGAAAAACTTGTTCCCATATTTATTTATGAAGAATGAGCGCACGGGCAAACGCGGTACAAACACAGCCGCACTGGGCGATCTGGCCATAAATTCAGTTGTCAACAAATGACCTAGCAGTGCAGTGCAGCAATGCGGAATTTGGTGCGATTAAGATAATTTTAATTTATTATAAGCACCTTCCATTAATCATTCATGTTACAATTGCGAAACGGAGAAATAAGAGGGATATTTTGTTTTTAAGGGACGCCTATGAAACTAATTAAGTTTTATTGCTAGGCGTTTTTATACATGTTGAACTGACTTCGGAAAGACTATACCTATAAAGAAAGGTACGTAAACATATTTGACACCAGCTTTTAGTTCTAAATTAAAACCATAGTATAAATAAATATGTATTTATACTTAATTTCTTATATTTCTACCCTTCTCCCATGCTTTGTTCTCTCATGAGCATCGACCCCCTATGTGATTTTTTTTCAGCTCTTTGTTCTGTCTGTAGTTTCCGTCTATTGTCTTCGTGGGTTTTCTCATTGCTTCGTAGATCGTCTGTTGCAGTTAGCGATTTTAATCCTAGACAATCTGTATAATACACCGTGCAACTGCTATCATTTTATTTAATGTTAAACCTATTGCAATTTAACAAATGGTATAAATAATCCATATTAATGAGCGCAAAAATTAATTCAAGATCAAGATGGTAAGCTACCGAGGTAGCTACCCACTTATTTTATCAGTTGGTACACTGTGCTGATAAGGGATAAATAATGATATCTAATAGCCATAAATTTGTTTTGAAACTATTGCATAATTTTTAGTATTTTCCTGTTAATCGAATATACTATTTCACGTACAGAGAGAGCTGTTTCCAAATCCTAGTGATTCTAGTGTGAAATATACATTGAACATAAGCAGAACTTTTTAATGGTGATGGCTTTATAGTATGTACTTATATTATTTTGTTGTCGGGTATTACTGTAAAAATATAGTACACGATTTGTATTAGCTTTATGGTGCATAACTGAAAACTGCTTTTTAGATAAATTTAAATACAAAATAATTAATGGAGCATTACAAACAAAACGGAACATTACGATGATAGTTACCGACAACAAAACAAAAAATTCATTACTTGAAATCCTTAAATAGAAAGTTTTAATAAGTTCCAGCAAACTAGTTTTAAAGATAAATATACCACTTTAAGAACAAGATAATTTGGTTTTATGAAGTAGGTACTTGAAAAAAGCATTTCCTACAGGTTTCTCGGAAAATATTATTGTAAGTAATTTAGTAATTAAATTAATTATTTCTCAAAAACACAGGGAAAATTAACAATTTATATCTAACAATATATCCACACACATTTAAATTAAGCATTTATATGTCTTTATACATATTTAATTAATTAACATTTACTACTAAAGTATTTCCATGTGAAATAAACAATAATTATAGAATAACTGAACAGACATATATTAACATATATTAATAAAATATATTCTACCTATTTGTTAGACTTTTAATACTATCTGCAACCAACTAGAAGAGAAAGTATCGATAGATTTAAGTGCCTACATATTTAATTGGAACATAGTTCGCTCCAAAATATTATAATAAAACAAAATTGCATAATGAATGTGTGTAGGCCCAGTAACAATTTATATAATTTAATTGAAGAACTCTTAAAGAACCATTAGGAAATGTTCCCTATTTAACCTCTTACATAGGCGTCAATGTAAAGTACATTAAAATTAAAAATACTCAATGAAGGATTGTATAACAAATATAGAAGAAAATAGGCCTTACCTAAAGTTATTATATATGTTGAGGACCCAGAATCTGTGGTGACGCACGGTCATTTTCCAAACACAAACTTTGAGAGCAGAACGTCAACATCAACATAAACTTTTGAAAAGTCCACTAAAAGTAAATAACTGTGCCACAAATAACCACAAAAGTCACTATAAATGTAAACAAAGTCCAGTTTTATTAATGTTTTCTTTTAAAAGTCTTGTAAACCAAAAGTGCTTGCACTATTTACCATGTTCGTATCTAGTCACAACTCACTACGACAAAATACATCAGTTCGAGTTTAGCAGTGCAGTCAACTACTGTTAGTTGGCCTCGTGTAACATTCGGCTACACTCGGTACACTTTCAAATACTACTAGCATTCATAAAGTTGTGGAGTCTGATAGTTAAGCCTACCTGGTTTTACCTGTCGTATAAGTGAACTCGGACCAATACAAAAAATACTAACATAAGTATCACAGAGTACATTCTGTCTCTTTCCCTCCTACCACTACTACCGTCTTATTTATGTCTTTCCTGTTTTCTTCATCCACACGAACTTCCTTTCCTCCAATATTAGTGAATCTGCTGGAATAATATAAGAGCGGACTCATGTTTTCTTCCTGAAACAAATTAAGAAATTAATGACATTTTTCAAATATCACGGTTGCTATAAATTACATATTATCTTTACAGGAATTCTGAATGATGCATCTGAAAGCAATTAAAATTAAAAATTCAATATATAAAACGTACTTAGGATAAAGTCGGATTATCTTCCCATTAAGCAAACTACGCAATTATTAATTGTCTGATATCTATTAACACTACAAAGCAACCTGTGCTGAATATTTTTACTGCTGCGGTATTGGTAGAAGGTATTTATCCAATTTAAAATTGTGTCATGCATAATGGTATAATTAAATTGTTTTATTTTAACTGTAAAAGCTAATTATTAATTTTATTTCATTTTTGTCACTACAGTTTTGATTAAATCTTTCATTTATTTAACCAAAGTAACGTAAATAGTAAATATGTATAAATCAAAACATGTTAGAATTTTGAAACATTAAATTTTGTTGTTTGCCTTGTAGAAGTAGTGCAATATATAATTTATTTGTAACGTTTAAAATTAAATTTAAAATTGTTATTTTCGCATTGCTTAATCAAATTAATGAACAATTACTTTTACATTAAAAAAATAATAACTGTAAAAGGTGTTTCATTCGAGCGTTATTAAAATTTGCTTAATAATTAACAGCACTTTATAACTGACGGAAGAGTGGATTTAATAGTGTCAAGATATTGTTACGAAACCAGTTATGTAAGTAAAAAATAATAAACAAGTCTTGTGCTAGATGTAGAATCCCAGACACACAAAGTATTAAAAAAAAATTGCGTGGTCGTCACCATCTAATATATAGAACCAGGCAAAGCCAGTGCTGTATAACTGGTAGTCTATCCTTACATTCTGTTAGTAACAACAATAAAAATTGTAATCTCCGGTAATATTCGTATTACAATTCTTATTACGATATAATGCAAAAACAATTTTGAATAATTAGTTAAGTATAATAAAATACCTAATGTAGCTATAAAAATCACCCGAATACCTTTATCAAACTGATAAAATACATGAAACTAAATAAACAATTATTGCTATTGACTACGGCATAAATATTTGTTTTTGTAGTTGCCTAATCAAGGTACGTAGAAATAGATTTCGGCTTTGAGAAAGCTCAAGAGCAGTTTATTAAATTATTGTCTAATTGTCTAAAAGTACTATGCGCTATGCGTACTATGGAAGACTGTTCGGTATTTTATAAACTTGTAAGATGGATGATTCACCTATAATAGCGTAATAATCAAGAAATTTTCATAAAAATATTTTTTATATTATTTCAACATGGATTTTCTACACTATCTAATATACATCTTAGTTAATTCGATACTCATCTTGCAGATTTTAATGTTTGTTAATAGGTGTATCATTAGTTGATATTGGAATTTTAAAACTGAATTATCAATAAATTATTTAAAAAATTCACCTGCGGCACAAATAATTATGGAGAGAGTTGCAGGTAGGTAGTTAAAGGTAGTATACTCATTTTTCTACGCATGTGCCTTGAGCTCGACTCAGCGACTTATCTTACTTACCTGTCAGGTGGGAGCGTGAGGTATAGTTTGTCTAGTTAGTTATCTGTTTGTATGGCGATGTATTGTTAGTTTTATTTCAGAAAATTTGCAGTGAAATGTGTTATTGTTTATGCTATATCACTTTATAAATATGGAATACTAATTAAGTAATAAGTAAGTAGTATCTTTTTTAATTGCCGACAATGTTTGGTACATTTAACTGTTTTTGTTCCTATACCGTATACCTTGTACTGTACGCCACCGTGGCTTTATATTTTATATTCTGCATATGTCTTCAGGTTACTGTAAATCTTTTTTTAACATAAACAGGCTCTTAACAATAAGGATTTGTGACTACAGTGCTATACAGTGGTTCACATTTTTTTTTATTTATGGTAATGGCTGTCACTGATTTCGTCGATTTTTCTGTAATGTTTTTAAATTTTTCTATTTACACGTTTCTATTTAGGTGCCTAAATACGCATAAATATTTGTTCAGGTAGATTTGTCGAATGTATTCTAATTGTATGTAGGTACCTCTTCAATGCATACATTAAAAATACCTGACGTTCTTACCTCATTCCATACATTCCATTCAGTATATGGATAAAGGTGTGGCGAAACTTAAATGAAATATTAATATTAGGTAAACTAAATTCTCTTTAATTTTTATCTTCCCGAGGCCTTTTAAACATATACTTCTGCATGCTTTACTATATATATCTAAAAAATTTGCCAAATTTTCTACTAGATCATAATATATTCATACGCATTTTATTATTGTTCGCGAAATTATATAAATTTTTAGAAGTAAATCTACATCTGTTTCTTACCCCTTATCAAAAATAAGCTCTGAAAATATGTAGGTAGGAGCAATTTGTTTATGATTAATGTATACAGGTGCTTGAGTAAATAGTTTTTTTGTCAAGGACGTACGGCACTCTTGTTATTACTCACATTCCTGCGAATGTATTAGTGATGACAAAAATGCTCATAACTAATATAACTATCTTATCTTTTATCTTTTTATTTTGCAATAAAAATTGCGTGCATATAAGACTTCATTAAGTGTGTGATTGTGCTTAGTTTTAATGCATGATTTAAAATGAGGAGGACAACATCCTATCTAATTTCAGTACCCATACGTCGGCTCTATTGTTAATTTTCTTACATTTTATACTTAATGTTCTGTAGAGCGATTTATATGTACTTGACAATTATAGTTCAGGTATATCATCCTAAACAACTAAATTATTTAAACTGGTTTCGAATCTGATAGTCAACTAGGTATAATCATTGTTACATAGAACATAACGCTTGATATAGGTATAGCATTTAAAAAAATTAGGATTTATTTAATGACTAACGCAAAACTGAAAAACTGTACATAATGGTATGATTCTCTTATCAAATAACAAAATGTTTTAAATACACAAGACATCATGTTCAGAAAGGGAAAAGTACTTTTAAATATAGAAAAGATATCAAGTAGATACATTTTTGGAAAAAATGACGAATATCGCAAGTATACCTATTTTGAATGAGATTATAGCAAGATTAACGCAAAAAGATAATCCACACAATGATATCAAAAATAGTTTTTAAATTGTAAAGGTGTAGATTATGATGAATACAGCATTAATTAAAAAAAATCTCTAGAGTCAAGAGTATTGTGATAATCGCGCAACTTTTTTCTAACGATAAAATAATAATGCGCAAAAATAGCACACTTCGAAAATATGAATTAATCAAAATTACTGGCTTTACTATAACAATACTTACTTACTTTATTAACCACTTTATATACAACAAATACATTTGAACTCACAAATAGACAGAAAATATAAATATCTAACAATCTAACAAATTAAAAATACAAACGATTTATAGGTCTAATAAATAAAACACATATATTCGTCAACAGTATAAAAGTAATAATTTAATAAAAACAACTTTGCAGATTTGTAATTTTGTGACAGACATACTGTCAATTAGAGCTTTTCCATGAATATGAACAAATTTATTGTATATATTTGTCGGAGATGTCTTTCTCACAGGCCGAGTCCTTCAGACTTTGGAAATTCCAGAATTCTTTATTCAGAGAATACCCTTTTATAAATTGTACCTAGACCATAAAACTTAGAAATAGTTATTTATGAATTAAGCCGGTTATGTTATTCCCGAGTTTTATGATGGCAAGCTTGGGTTTGGAGGGACTTACAGGTCACTCAACATAGCCGCGGTCAAAGGATAGATAGCATTTACCTTATAATTACTTTATAAGGGAACCTTATTCTTTTGTGATAAACGTATGCGAGAAAATGGAGCCACCAAATTGCTTGCTTGTCGGGTATTAGTTGTGAATATCTGAATGTGTTGTAAAATTATGTAAATTTTCCTGAATATAATGATCATAATAATAATAACAATAATATGTAATCTGTTCTAAAATTCAATAAATCAAATCTTGCGCCTAACTTCTCGTTGTTTGCGAGGAAAATTTTATAGTTTTATCTGAGGTTAAACCAAAGTTTGTAAAAAAGGTTCTTGTTCTTGTAGTTTAGTAACTTCTTCCTATAAGTACGGCCACCCGTACACTTATACAGTATATATAGTAAATATTCGTGTTTTCACTAGTATTAAAAACTTATTTAAAATACACAATCGCCTATGAATAGGTCGCAAACCAATATTTGTAACCACCGTAACATGAAAATTATACTTATAGCAGATTAAGGACTGCGAAACACTTCAAGCGGTGCCGCGCGGCTGTGCCGCGACACTGCGGAGGCAGATTAGCGGTGCCGCCGCAGCACTTCAGATACATGTGCTTTAAAGGTAGGATTTTTAAACTTGCGGGAAGGCGGGGTGCATCAGCAGCGATAACAAAGAAGAATAAAGTCTGATAGAACGCTATCTAAATGATAATCAGGCATATGCCTCTCCTACCTTCAGTTTGTTTAATTTGAAACGACATCTTAGAATATTTTCCAGAAGGAAGCCGATGATCATTAAAAATGGGTAAAAATCCAATTTTAGAAAGTCGTATCCAATTGACGCAAATTTCAACTAAATTAAAGATTTCATTGTTCTAGACACATGTTGATAAAATAAGAATTTTCTTTGACACAGTGTAGATCACTTTTGAATTGAAAAAAAGAATGTCTTAAGTTAGGTAAGATGTTTTTAAATTTTTGACACCATTTGCAACTTCATATCTGTAATTATTTTGTCATTGATGACTGATCGAAGTAACCTGGAATTGGAAAATTAGAATTGTGTATTTCGAATACAGAACCTGAAATTTAAGAAATTAGTTTCTTATGATTTTTTTAAATATGTAAAATAGGTACCTACATTTTGTAAAACCTTTAGCGACCCCCTCTTCCGCAACTCCGCCACCTTTGGGAACCGCTACTGTACGTCATCCGTCATATCCGGTGATTGCATTAACGTATATTCAGTGGCAAATTATACCTTCATGGGGCCCTCGGGAAATTTAAATTTGGGGCTCTACATTTGGCGCCTTACATATAATTTCTTATTGGCCGGGTTCTTAATTACAGTTTATACCCCATTCAGGGTTTAATCAAGAATGGTTGCAGTATTATTGTTTATAACGTCACTCCACCTTAACTAAGTTTACAACCAGACAGTTATACTTTCTGTTTCAAGCTGAGGGTAGATACTTTTTAATTTTAGTTATTTAATCACGTTTTAATGTTACTGATCGTATACTGGGCGCAGTGAGTCTATTTGCGAAGTAATAACGATTACTTAATCACTTGATTTTCAGTTATTTGATTTCATACCAATTTGTATTATCCTATAGATTAAATCATAAGTTAAATCTTCAATTAGGATATTATAAGGCGTTAAGATAAGTACGTAAACATGTGTATTTACACTTTTAAATTGCATTGCACAAAAGTAACTGAATGATGTGATAACCATTAAATTAGGTCCTAATTAATCAATGATCATAAATCCCGGTTTTAAGGTATAATTAATAAATTAAAATAAAGTGTGCATTCTGTAGCATATCAACAAACAAGTTATTACGTATTGAGTTGTTAATAACTTCAAAAGTGACTTCAAACAAATTAATCTTAATGGACATATTAAAAAAAAAGGATTTTTACGTTATGTCATGTATCTCATGTTACAGTTTATAAAAACTGTATGAAACTGTAAATGAATACTTGTAACTCATTAAGGCCTTGAATAAAAAAGCGTGGGTTTTTAGCTCTAACCCTTTTAAATTATTAAAATTTGCCTTGTAATAGTTTTTGGATAATTCACAAATTAGGAATAGCATAAAAAAGCTGCGGTTATCCTTTTATCTCCATTAATTATATTTTTGCATCCTACCCATATCACCGCCTTCAAAAAAACTCCTGCATTGTTTGGTATTAAAATGTTTATAGATAGCTGTGGTGATGATGACGATGACTAATGGATAATATAATTCATTCTGAGAATTAATGTGTACGGTAGATATTACGTACCAAATAAATGTGTTTATGAAAATATGTACACGGCTTTTTGATCCCTTTGCATAATTACAGTCACGTCCTTTCAAAACTGTGGTATGATTGAGTAAAAGAATTCGGGAAAAAATGAAAATATTATTATTAATTCACAATAGTGCGCATAAGTCTGACCTTTGGTCATTAATCAAAAGGAAAATAATTTTTTCGATTGGAATTTAGTTTATCAAAAGTTTTTTTCTCGAATTATCACAAAGAGATAGGTAATCCTTATATCATTTAATTTATCTGCATTAAGTATACCCATATGAGATCATGAACAATGGGATATCCCCAAAAAAATGTAGATAATTTTCCCTAATGAAATGTTAACGTTTAGTTTGTTTTTAAGCAAAACTTCCAAAACGTATAGAGCGTAAGTAGCTAAAAGGACTTATGGTTAATAAATGCGCAAATATTTTAACAGTAAGTAAAATAAAAGATAGCTGCTTTGAACTAATCCACAGACAGATATTTAAAATACTAAGTTTACTTTTAATGTAATAAAAACAGCCATGACCAAATGGTGATGTTACGGTTAATGTTGTACAAATATCTAATAAAGTTTTACATTGTTCAATTGAGAAATAAATGTTAATCAAAACAAACAGCATTAATTTGACTATCTATAAATCTTCTGATAATAAATAACGTGATAAACCTTTTATACACGATGTTAATTTTGTTAATATCTATGACATCTGTCAGTTTTACGTTACTTTTTTCCAAAGAAGCTTCGGTATGATGCTCTGAAGGTTTTATTTACTTTAATTCCAGGAGTAAGAAATACTAATCAACAGAACAATGGCGTATCGTAATGGATATTCTGGGGACGACAGGGACGTAGACAGGGACAGGGATGATAGAATGAATGACGGTGTGGGGAAACCAATTCATATTATTGAGCATTTGGCTACATTTACTGTTACCAAAGAGACAGGTATTATATATCCTGCTGATGGAATGCGAAGACTGTTACAACTGGAAAAAACCAATGGAATATGGTCGCAAAAAATGCAACTTTGCCTAGACAACTCTTGGGTTTTGATTATGGACTATGAGACTGGTGTAAGTACAATTTGCAATGAATTAATCATTTTAATATATACATTTTTAAACTTAAAATTTACAATTAACCCAAACAGCTTATTAAAATTCTCGATAATGTGTAATATTATGTCGTACATACATCAAAGATAAAAATACTGATTGTAGTATGCCGATTTTGTATTTATCTCGCGATCTACAACATCGTTAAGTTTATGATTTAGCGCACCTTATTTTTTTAAAGGTATTTTTAAATAGGTATGTAGTGCTTCAATTATGCTGTCAAGTCAGTTAATTAGTGTTATCATTTATTTATCATAAAAAAGCATTTCAAAAATTTCAAACATTTGATGTTTATACTCCCCCATTAATATATTTTTTAAATAAATATACTTTCAAAAATGTGATGTATTATAAAAGAGGATTGTGGTATTTTTATTATCATTTCATTTTAACTAAAATGGTAGAGAAGTCAGCTGATGTCTAGAAAATACTTGCTCATAGAAATTTAAAATTAGCCTATGAGCTGATACGATCACAAACATTATTTTAAAAGAGATGCGGCTGAAACAAATTTTCAGTAATTCAATTCCCTACTTTTAAATTTGCACACAATTTTTTGAATTATTTTTTTAAGTGAATTATGAAACTAACCCTGTATTATACAATTTTTACAATAGCAATCAGTTCGTAAAAAACAGATAAAGATATTAAAACGAGGAGGTGGACTTTCTTATCACCTTTACTGATTTATTCACATAACTCTTAATTACCTGATATCACTTCGAGTCACTTTTATTTTTAATGCTGGACTTTTCCAGTCTTTATAAGGCTATTTAAAAGAAGATGATACATTAGCGTGTAATTTGGAAAACATAAGATTACATCAAAATTGACATTCTGCCTATAACGTGTACTTATGTAACTGTTTAATGTGTTTGTTACAGATAAAATTGTTATTTTCAAGAAGGTTATTAGCAATATGTAGTGTTTAATTGTCAATATTTGAAAAATAAATTATATCCCTAACTGGGAACTGTATTAAAACCTGTATTTGTTCAATAATATCAAGACTATCTCTCAAACATTAGAAATATTTCCCTATATATTTAAATTAAAAACTTACTTCATATTTTAGAAAGTCAAGAAATATATTTTTGAAAATCCACATGATGGCTAACTTGTTACTTTCATTTTGACCTGGAATTTCTATTGCCTTAAAGATTCATAGCTGCACATATTCTGCTATTAATTAGTGTTAAGTTCCAAGAAATATGCCTGTATGCTTTTTCTTTTATTTAAACCGAACTGACTTTTATTATACATACCTACTATTTTCTCTACATTCATTTGAAATAGATTAGCTTCTTTCACAGAAATTAAAACATAAGATATAAATGTAAAACATAATTTTTATTCCATTTACTGGAAAACACGCCAAGATATGCAATTTTTATCGAGGCTTTTCATTCCAAAAATTGACTTATTTTCTAGAGTGTTATGGAAAGGTTTCCCGCCAATTCCATACAAGAACCCACAGCATTTATGAGTCAAGATCCTATGGAAATGTATAATAATATTCTAGTTTTTATCGTCACTAATTCCAATCAGTCTCACCCTCCAGAAATGCACATATTTCAGGTAAGTCTTCTAACATTTATTAGAATAAAGTATGTGTGACAAAAAAAAATCAGATAAAGAGGTGTTACTAAGGTCTCAGAATTATGAAAACACTATATGGTGCTTATGCCTCTTTCCTTGCTCGGTGACGATATGTACTATATACACATATTTGGCATAATTTAAATATTCAGACATACATATGTAGCCACATAATATCTAAAAATAATTACATTTATACAATGCGATCTTGATAAGATAAAATTTAATAATTTCAATCTATTGTATTTAAATTCAGTTATCAATATTGTCACATATACTTTCATTATCCACAAAGTGGAGCATGCAAGAAGTTCTTTTTCATTGCCTATATAATTTTTATTGTAAGTTAATTAAACACTGGATAAATTACTTAGTATAAATTTTACAATGTGATATGTGATTAATTTTATTATTTTTCACTAAATACGCCTATAAAATTGAAGTATATTGACGACATAATTTGTTGTTCAGAAATTAAGGGATTAAATTTTCAAAATATTTGATACACTTTTAAATTTCAAGAGTAATTTTGGGTGCTTATGAAAAGTGATAATTTTTGTGATAATTTTTTCATAACGTTTTTAATTAACACATCAATTTCAAAAAGTTGGCAAAGCTGATAAAAATGTATCTGTTAATTTCTGAATGGCCACAATATGAAATAATAAAATACTTTTGAATTAGTGTCAAAGCATTTCGGCACAAGATCTTGTAGAAGACTTGATGCAACTTCGCATGGGTAAAGCATTAACGAGAAGCCGCAAAAGTAGCATTCCCCCTCCCAGTCATAAGCCCCCACAAAACGTCATAAATCCTAGCAGAGATGTGACAAGAGATTACCATGGTTCTGACTCTGAGCTTACTGCAAACAACGATGATTCTAGTTCTACAACTAGTGAAAAATACGAAAGAGATGTAACTATATTAAACCATTGCTTCGACGATATTGAGAAGTTCATTGCTAGACTTCAACATGCAGCCGCTGCAGCAAGGGAACTGGAACGTAGAAGGAAAAACAGAAAAACCAAAAAGCGAGACATGGGAGATGGTATGTTAACGATGAGAACTAAGCCACCACCCGAAAAAGAATTTATCGATATTTTCCAAAAATTTAAACTTTCTTTCAACCTTCTGGCCAAACTAAAAGCGCATATACATGATCCAAATGCACCAGAACTGGTTCACTTCTTGTTTACCCCGTTGGCTCTTATTGTTGAAGCATCACATGATACTTACTTTGATCAACATTTGCCACATAATGTTATTGCACCATTGCTGACAAGAGAAGCTGTTAATCTTCTAATGAACTGCGTCACAAGTAAAGAAACGGAATTATGGCATTCACTGGGCAGTGCATGGCTTATGCCAAGGTAAGAAACAATATTTAAAAAAAAACGAAGACAATTATTTAAAAACGTAAAGGTACTTTATAATAAATTTGTTTTAGAGATCAGTATAAGGGCCATGTACCATCTTACCACCCAGTATTCATGGATGGATGGTCTCCAGAATACCCAGTGATTGACGAATTGGATTCTAACATAGAAAATAAATCTTATCAACACGACAGTCAGTACAGTGGGGACTACAATGATTATCAGTCATCGAGCCAGGACAATATTTTGATGTATGACAGAAGTAGTAATTCACACCGTCACCAGCCAGAGAAAGACTTATCACCTACAATGGGCGACAGTACTCGTAGTGATATTTCTGTAGATTCGATTGAGAGAAATGGTGGTGATGAAAGAGGTTTTGGAAGGAATCAAGAAAGTTTCTTAGAAGATCTTCAGAATAGAGGAGCTAATATTGTCCAAGTGACTTATCCAAGGACTGCTAACAATGATAAGGAATTAACTGTTGTTCGTGGAGAATTTCTTGAGGTATATATAACAAGAAATAAGCAAAATGTTATGCTTACTTAATTAAACAATTTTTTCAGATATTAGATGACAGTCGAAAATGGTGGAAAGCTAGAAATAGCAGAGGTCAGGTGGCACATGTTCCCCATACTATAGTAACACCTTATGTCTTCAATAACCCACTGTACACTCAAAACTATAACCGAAGAGCTGTGAGTATTTCATAATTCATATATCTGATATACCAAATATCGGTTACCATTTTAGGAATCGCCTGTATTTAACACAGCACATAATTCTCAAGATCATCCAGCGCAATCAAAGAATAATACAGATTGGATTAGAAATGAGAGGCTTGGTAAGAAAGGAGAATTTCGCTACTTCTAAGCACTGCTTAAGTGTTTCGGCAACATTCCATTGTGTCTGCTTTTATTGTAATTTCTGTTTGTGTTGTATTATGTATATTCTATTGTCTTGTGGAATTGTTTAAAGCAACAAAGCTTATCGATTGAAACTGACTTATAATACTTCCTCTGAAAATTTAGTATTATGATGATTATTGTCTAATATTTTATTACATATACATATAACAAATTTATGTAATAACTTTTATAACTGAATCGAATTATAAGAAATAGTTACAAGTGTATATATTATATTTTATTAATTGATGTTTCGTATGAGTTTTTTACTAACAGAAGTCAATACGTAAATATATTGTATACATTATATAAAATAAATTTATTTACCATGTTTTTGAATAATTCTAACCTATACCTACTGCAAAAATTATTAGTTCGGTTTCCAAAAATCTTAATTAAATGTTACTTAAATTAAAATTATTAGTTTCCAGCGAATCAAAATGCAATGTCAACTGCTTTATCAGTGCTTTATCATATGTAAAACGGCTATCTTTGTTTGATTTTGTTTAGTGTTGTCTCAGCGAGGAATTACAGAGCTTTATGTGTCGCTTAAATGTGACTAACTTTCCATTACATCTTATTAATTTTATCTTTAGAACAATCTAGTGCTCCACCCCCTCCACCTCCACCTCTTCCCCCAGCTGCACCACCAGCCCCCCCTCTTCCAGAGGCGCCGAAAACTCCAACTGTATTCAAACGGGCTCCGTCGAGACAATCCATAAAATCGGCAATTTCTGTCGAAGACCGAATGCAAGAAGAATTGTCAAGTGTACTCACCCTCGTTAGAGAAAGAACCAAAGAGAGACATTTGGATATTAAACAAACCCCAGAAACTTACATTGATAACAAGTCCACTGCAAAAGACGTACAGGAATGGTTGAACAAGAAAGGATTTAGTCAGAAGATTCAAGATAAATTTATAGGAATAGCTGGCCATCACCTATTTGACATTCAGAAACCTGAGTTGGAAAGAATTTGTGGTAGAGACGAAGGCAAAAGATTATTTTCCCAGTTAAGCATTCAGAAGTCTATCAGTGGAGTAAGTATATTTTGAAATGAACATGTCATTCTGGCCAAGTTTGCAGGTTTCTTACATGTTAATATATTTTTTCAGTATCAAACTGTGAGGACCACAGAACTGAAGGCCATTCTTGCCAAAGCTAGACAAAAAATAGAAACCAGCTGAGTCACCGAGGAAGCACTGTTAATTAATTTGCAATAATTGTAGCTGTGAATATTTACATACTTTCAAGTTATTGCATAATTTAATTTTAATATTAATATATTATTACATATTTGTTTAATTACATACTCATTAAATATTATGACATAATTTTCTTGTCTTTACTAATCATATATTATGATAATTCATTTAATTTTTTTGTGGATATTCCTTTAAATACTATTAAATTGTAAATATACATATATTCTTAATATATTTTGAAAGAATTACATATCATTTCTAAATGTTCCATTTTTTAGACAGAAGTTCTATTAGAAATTATGTGTTTCCATATAGTGACGGGTACTGTCAAACAAAAACTATCGAAATATTCGATAGTACCTAACTATGCTAATTTATTCGATTGCCCAAAATGTATTCGAATTAAAATAGTAATGGCAATTCCACCCAACGTGCCACTGAACTAGTCACCACTGGTCGATGGTCTTAGTCACTTAGTATTAGTAGACAAGACATGCACAAACATTAAAAACGATAATTATTTGCATAAACTATCATACTAGCTCATGATAAATAATTTTTCTCTTTAAGAATAAATAAAGCATTTCACAGTCCAGCAAATGAATTTATTCAGTTGAAGTCTACTTATCACTGATTATTGCCAATAAATATTACAATTACATAAACTAATTTCATTGTTACTATCTAAATCATATTTGTAAGTTTCCGACAGAGAATACAGAAAATTTCCAACTTGCTTTCCAAAAATAAATAATAACCGTACAAATTGTAAATTAGTTGCTATAAAATGGAATGAAAAAATGTTATTAACTGCCTTGAAGGATATCAATTTTATTAGTTAAAAAAAAATCTTTATTAGAACAAATTACATATTTTGTTTAGATTTACACGTAATAAAGTGATTTACGAAGGATATCAATTTTAGTAGTTAAAAAAAAAACTTTATTAGAACAAATTACCTACATATTTTGTTTAGACTTACACGTAATAAAGTGATTTACACATGTAGTGGTAGGAACATCCAAGTCATAATCTTAATTGCCCCTTATATTAAAAATAAATTAAATAATGTGTCATCCAAGATTCCTCAAACACCTTATCAGTGTCCGCTTCTGCCTATTGTTCAGAAAAATATTTAAGTGATAAATAGGCACACATATGAGTAACTTATTTATTTACTCATATGGGTACACGTATGTGCTTTTGTGCTTGCAATATAACCACATAAAAGTTTCATATTATATTTGCTAAATATATATTTATGAATTCATTTACAACCAAATGAAATATTTATAAAACATCTCTCTTATCCATTAAAAACAAGTTCCTCCTCCAATTACAGTATTTTTCATGGATATTTTGGTATTTTGTAAATAATAAATATACAGATACCCAAGTTTTAATAGAAAAGTAATTTTTCCATTCCTACTAAAAACTAAGCATTGTCGCAAATATAAATAACCTATATATTACTGTAATGTACTACAAGATTTAACATAAACTTTCAAAAACTTACCTATTATTTGGAATACACTAGCACTAGCCTCGCCAAAATGACACCAATAGCTAATAAGTTTAACAAAGTATATAAACACAAAATATGTTCAACAGTACCAAGTACATACTTTTCTTGTCATCTGAGCATTTATCAATATCACATAATAAGTATTACTATTTCAAAAACAAAAAAAAATATGTCAGAAACGTTTTTACACATTATATTTGAGATGGTTAATAACCAATAATGTTAACCTACACTGACTGAACTTTTTTTGGGTTCTTATTTATAATTCCAAAACAAAGAAGTCAAGTATGTTTTTATCCATAATTTTTATTTCATTGTTTTTCACCAGCCTTTGAATGAAAAACAGGTTTTGACAGTTTAATTCTGATGTTCATGTCAAAGTTGAATATAGTACATAATATAAAACTTAAAATTCTGTTCATTTTCTAATACTGTAATAAAAGTAAATGTTTATTTATTTAGTGTGTGATTAAACAAAACTAGTGTGAGGAATAATTCTTGGTACAGCGAATGATCAAGATTCCATCTAGTCAAGTAGTGGGTATGTACTTTTTTAGTTATATGTACTGTTTCTATTATATTAAAATAACTTTGTTCGAAGAGTGAATTTGCACGGTTTGACTTTGGTACCAAATGCTCATGTTTTGTCCATAACAAGTTTCACAATCAGATCAAATCGATATAAAATCTACGACTCCATTCTTAAATTATTATTATAAAAAATAATTACATTATAAAAAAACAAATTATATTTTATCTTCTAATTTTAGAAATTAATAGTTCCTAATTTTTATAAAATATTTATATAAATATACATTTTAGATAAATTAAATTAAAACAATGCACGAGTTTAACAAAGTATCTAAACATAAACTCAAGTTATAGGCTAACAAGATCAAAAAATAATATAAATTCTACTGTACAAAACTTATGCGCATGTACCAAATTATTCTAAGCACTTTTAACTGATTCGAAACTAATCTGTTGCTTTCTACGAACACTAAATTCGTTGTCGGCATTGGTAATTTGTTGTTCTTGGAACGTTATTTCGCAAAAGTGCATGCGCCTGATGGTTTCTGATAGTTGCCGATCATTCTTTGAACAAAGCTAATATACCTAGTCATTGGAAATATTTTAAATACAAATCAGGTAGTATCACATTCCGGCGTACTTTGACGTACTTACATATGAATGCAGGCAGTATTAGACTGATATAAAGATAAAAATCTTTTGGATATTTGTGAAATGATGACATTATATTTGTGCAAAAATAAAACAAAATTATAATTTAATCCTTTATAATTACTTTTTAAAAATTAGTTACATCTAGTAATTATTAAATAATTAACAATATTTATATAAATAAAATGAGAATAACATCTTTAATAAAATCACAAGTATAAAAACAATTTACATCAGAGTTCATTGCAGGAAAACTACACTATCTCAAATGAAAAGTTATAAGTATTTTTTTATAATACTGTTACATAAACAAGGTTTACTATAGTAAGTGATTCGTTCAACATAACAGATTTAGGCAAAGCACTTACTCTTCTCAATTTTACCACAATGAACTATTCTAGTAAAACTCTAAATCTCATGCTTTGACTGTTATATATAATATTTTGTTGAATCCCCCAAAGTATTCCTCAGTTCACTCTTAATCGATTATTTAAAATAAAACAGTATACTTTTCAACAAACTGGAAATATGTGTTTATTGCGTATCTGAAACTAGTTTAATAAAAAATAATACAAATAAGATTAGGTACATACATGGGTTTCGGATTTAAAGATATGATAACTTCAGGCAGGTACAAAAAAATAAAAATTTATATTACAGAATTATTTGAAATTTTCATCACATTATTATTCTTATTTTGTGGTGGCTGTAATAAATCACAGAACTGTAACAGTGCCTCCCTTAATGGTCTAGATACTTGCGTGGATGTTGTTGTTGTGCACTCCACCAAGTATGGATACAAACTTATAAGTTGCTCCCAGGCTTTATTGTCTTCTACAAAACACAATTGCGTAATTAGACACAAATTACTTCATTGTTAACTGTAATACCTTTCACAGCTGTGGCTTTTTTCATAGATATTATAAGAGTCGTTAATGCTTTAAGCACAAAAGATATTTCAGAGAGGCGGTACCTAAAAAGAGTGTTAACAGCACATCATTAAAATTTAAAAATTGAATTTATATATATTTTTTCCTTATAAATATATGTCAACTAAAATGAATCTTTTTCATTATTTAAATTAAAATGGTCATTCTATGTGCTTATATCTGTAGACTGCTTCACACTTGCAGTTTGTTCCAAGATTTATAAAATCGTACCTAATAATTAAGGAGTATTACCACTATAAAATGCTAAAATAAAGTGTCTTTTGAGATTTTTTTTATCGAAGGAAAAATGAGAGGATAATAACATTCAAGGATGTTATTATCCATGTCTTCAAGTCTTCCAAGTGTTAAAAAAATTTTATTTATTCATAAATAGTACAAAATAGCATTGAATTTGAGCCACTCTGTGGCAAATAGTAACTGACACAAAGACTCACCTCAAAAATCACTAGTTTTTTCACAATTCGCAGAGAACTAAAGAAAATAGATAAAAATATGTTTTGTCTCAAATTACTAGTCGTAAAAAATTAAGATGAGCATAGCTTTTAGGTTTTTGAAAATTTTCAAAAATCACCCCTACTTATGGGTTAAAAGACGCCCAAAATGAAGAATTAAATATTACCAATTAATATAAAAACTATTAGCATGTGAATTTTTCTTTCGAATGATTCTTGATACAAAGAAAGATTTATTCTCATGACTGAAATAAGCATGTTGAATTAGAAAATCCACCCTTAAGCACGGTGTGGAATCATCCCTAAAAATAAGATAATTCACATGCTAATAGTTTTTATATCAATCGGTAATATTCAAATTCTTCATTTTTAGCATTTTTTCAACCCCTAAGTAGGGGTGATTTTTTAAATTTTCAAAATACTAAAAGCTATGCTCATTTCAGTTTTTTACGACAAGTAATTTGCGACCAAAAACATATTTTTATGTATTTTTTTTTAAATTCTTAGCAAATTGTGAAGAAACGGGCGAAAATCACAGGTTTTTTGCGGTCACTCTTTGAATATGGAGAAAAACAAGAAACATGTAGGAGATTTTGAAAACATAAATTTTTATGCGATTGGCAAGCATTTTTAAAAGGTATAGTCAAAATTTGGAATGAATAGAAATGGAATTGTGCCGAGTATCATTTTGAAAAAATCGTTTCCAGAAAAACGCCTTTAAATTTTTGAGATATATGCTATACTAACGTACATTTGTTTGAAAATGCTTCTAATTGAGAGAGGTCGGCATTTCAAAGAAAAATTTGTACAGGCACAAAACTTCTTTCCCGTTTTTCTAGAAGGTTCAAACCATCATTTAAATCAATAAAGTAAATAGATTTTCTGGAAATTATACAGTGGTCTTATCCCTTAAAGAGGTAGTACCGTTTACCTTGGCAGAGGGCATTTTCCAGTAAGTTTTTCGTCTTCGATATACTTCTTCAAAACTTCTTGAAATCGATGTAACAATGAAGTAACTGCGAGATGCCCAGCAAGACCATTATTTTTTTCATCGCTACTAATAACCATTCCATTATTTCCACCATCGATTAAAGAAAATTGTAACAAAGTCTCAAAACAAGTTTTGGCAAATTCTTCACGTAAAGTCAGTTCAATATCACCATCCGTTTTCACATTAGTAGCAGAGTGTATCGATCCCTTATTTAATAAAATAACTACTTGCATGATGAATTCTTTAGGGATGCTTTTCGAAAAAGGTAATACTTCTGTTCGTAACAGTTCTATTATTTGACAGTCTGTTGTCTCATCAGCTATCATTTCTTCTAAACCTTTATCTGCTGATGCACAACTAGAAAATAAATAAACTAATTGTTTACAAACTATGACTTTGTAACATAATTTATTATAGTCACCAGAATTGGGTAAAAAATTATAATGATTATTAAATATTAAATAAATCTTTTTGTACTTACGTATTTGGAAACAGAAAATCATTTAAAGTAGTGGATAATTCATCCCACATAGATGAAAATTGATTCCCATGTGATCGGGCTACTTTAAGACCAACTTTGAGAATCGTAATTAGACTGTTAGCAGCTAATTTCCATATACTATTAGAAATGCAATTGTATTTTAAAGCTAATGGCGTATGTAAAGTTACGATAATCTCTTTTAAAATGTTTGCGTTTATAACTTCGGGGTTTTCAGCAGTTTTTTCATACAATTTAACAACCATCGTCACTGCTTTTTCTCCAAAAGGAACATAATTCATTGTTATCCAGTCTGACATTTTATTTTGTTTACTCTCTAGCTTGGTGAATGTTGGAGGAGAGCAAGTAAATTTTGCGAAAGTTAGAAGAAGTTTGAAAATTTCTGGAATCATCTTAGAACTATTTCTCTGCATAGCTTCCTTTTGTAGCAGTTCCATGGCATGTAGCACACCGTCATGTAATGGAGTTAGACTTAAATCAGATGACGTTGATATTATGTAGGGAGTTGTCTCTCCATAAACTGGTACACTAACTGCATTTGATAACACTGTACCAAGTTGTTTTAAATCATCTAAATTGAAATTAGTTTTAATATGCTGAAATACATTTGGAAATATTTGGACTAAATTTGTCAAGAAAGTTTGGCTTGGTAGATAAAAATCATCATGGCCTTCATGTTCGATAAGAGGAACCGTAATTTCTGTCCCAATCTTCACCCAAATTTTCCATGCAATAGCCCAAATTTCTTTGTCTTCTAAAACTACTTTATTATCTACACTTTGGCTTTTACTCAGAAACAGAATTTCTTGGAATGACTTTAATGCCGCTATTGATACTTCATTATTTTTGCTTAGAGCTGCATTTTCAATAAATTCTAATAATATCGACCAAGCTCTCGGAAAATCACCCAAAGCTTGTAATAGCTGCCTTTTCGTATTGAAAACTCTGGCCACTCCAGATAGGGTTAATACCTGCGTTTCAGCCCATTGCTTTTGTGCAGTATTTCTCGTGTGATGAATCAAAATATTACCACCAGCGTCAACCTTCTCGCTGCTTGCAGAATTTGAAAGACTTCGAACTTTATCTAAAAGAGGAAAGAGTACCTGCCATAGTATCGCTTGCCATGTGGGCTGTTTTAAGAGTCCCCCATGAGCAGATATTGTTGAAAACAGTGTTTGTCCGGCAGATTTTCTTACAGCTGGTCTACTATCTACACATAATTCGCCTAATCTCGCATATAGGCACATCCAGAGTTTATCGAAACTTGGCATATTTAAAGTGCCAGGAAAATCGGGTAAAACTGTGTTATCTTCTGTAAGAGTTTGGCTCAGTTTACCTTGATTTTGGTGAAAATAGTCAGAAATGTTCCACTAAAAAATAACAATGTATGATTTGCAAAAGAATTATGATTCACGTACCATTAATCCAACTGCGGTTAAAGATATGTTCAGTTCTTGAGTTTGGGACCCAAATTTGGCGACGGTGTCCACACAAAGTGGTAAACATCTCCATGGCATTACAGGCAAGAAATCCGTTATAACCAACTGTAAACACTGGAATGCAATCCGAATTAGATTTTCCCTAAAAAGTATACATTTGATTAATGTTTAAAATATCTCATACTGAAAAACATTGCAAAAAGAATTAATTTACTCAAAATAAATATTATTTTGAGAGAACTTACCCGTGCTGATCACTGACAGCACCAATAATTCCCAGTACCAAAGGCCACCCATGGGACAGGGTTTCCCCATTGGTATGAAGAATTTGTAGGACGCATTCTAACTGTCTTTGACGCACGTCGCCATGTGGCACAGAAGACAACTCGTATAATGGTCCAAGTAATAAAGTCTGCAACTTTTGATTTTCTCTTAGAGGGATAGCATGTTTGTAATGTAGAGCAGATTTAACAAGATATGTTATAGCTTCGACTCCCCATTCTCTCATCCGAATATGTGGGTGGTGGCATACTTCTAAGAGATGATTTGTTAGAGGACGCCACAACACTTCGATCCTTGACATGTTCACTAATCCCGTCTCTAACAGTTTTGCAACTGCGAATAAAGATGGTTCTCGATTGGAATATGCTAGTTCCATGGCTTCTTGTGACAATTTACAGAGGGCATTTATAAGGTGATGCAATGCAACATCGTCAAGATATTGACTGGATTCAAATAATCGACTGAGCATAGTAGAAAGCACGGGTAAATCTGCCATAACAGATGTAGTGATAACAGCATTTGTATCAGTACTCGATCGACCTGCTTTCAAGCTTCCACCAGTAGATGGTTTTAAACCCAAAATCCAGACTAAGTGCTGCAATGTTGTCAATACAAGATGCCAGGAAGTGCCCAAAATACTTCCGTGACAATGTGCCAAGCTTAGTAGAGCTCTCATTGATTGCAAATTTTTGGATGTTAGCATTACAGGACCTTGTTGAGTACCTGCTGGGACTGATGAAGTTGGTAAAGGCGTACCTACAGCCACTACTTGCTGTCTAAAATCCGATTCTCCATATTGCACCACTATTGGTGAACTCATATCTTGACTATCTCTGTGACCTTAAAAAACAAACAAACATTTACAGAAAATTATTTCTGGTACAAATACTTAAATTATGAAAAAGTTGAAAAAATTCACCTTGTCTTAAATTAACTCCAGATGTAACAGTATTCAACACTGTTAGAGCATAATGTGGAGGCAGCGATGACTTACAAATAGCAGTAATGAAAGCATCTCTAGGTGTATGTAAATCTAATTGGCCACAAAGTGATGTGTATGTTTGTATGGCTTTCAGAACATTCTCTGTAATGGATTCATCAGTACTAGCATCAACTAAGGGACTTAATGCGGCCAACAGACCACACCAACTTGAATTTATTAACTGGCAATTCAGCTCTTTGCTGTTTTGTTTTTGTGGCACTGGTGCTTCATTATCTGGAGGTTGCTGTGGACTTATTGTTATTTGTAACGATCTTATTATTTCCATTAGACAAGCGTATGCCACAGATATACCATATCCATCTGGGACGACAGGGGGTTCTATTTTATCTAACATTTCTAAACTAAAAATTACATTTATTGTAAGAAATATAAACTTAACACCTTGTTTAGTATAAAAATTCATACTACTCACTATGTTGATTTTGCCTGTCCTGTGGGAAATGTGGCAACAATAGGCAACCAAACGCCTCTTAAAAGAAATCCTGGTTGTGGAGATACTCCTGGACCTGCTGGTAAACCTCCAAGAAATACTGGAGGCTGTCCTTGGGTAGCTGGCACAACTAAAACAGAATTTTTAGATATAAAAATTTATAATCACACTACAGTTTAATGAACAAATTTTATAGTTAAGAAACTTACTTGCAGCACCCATTTGTAATTGAGGACTGACGAATAAAGACTGGACATAAGCACCTAAAGAGTTCACAATATCTTGAAAAATACTAGTAGTGTGTTTATTCAGATCATAACATTCACAAAATGAATTGAGCAGTTCTGGCTGGATGGTCATTTTATGTAAAACTTCCAGAGCTAGTGAACGTTGCCATGTAGGTTTATCGGGATCCAAAAATTTTACTATTAATGATAAGAATATCTCACATTCAGTTACCTACAATGATATTTTCCATACATTAAATTAAATGTTCATGTATTTTATATTTAAAAGTCTTACCAAAAGTCCATGGTATTTCTGAATTAATACTGAAACAACTCGTAACAACCTCATACTTATTGGGAAATATGGCTTTTCAAATGGAGTGGCTTGCTGTATATTACTGGGAACATTGCTTCTATATTTTATATTTGGTGAGAAAAGTTTAATAACTAAAGCACAAACTCTTTCTTTCAATAAGAAACTAAATTCAGCATTCTACAAGAATTAGATATTGGATTATCTTTATTTATTAATAATATATTATTACCTTATAAAATACTACAGAAAATTGGGTTAAAACAGACTCTAAAAGTTCTAGTCCAAATGTTCGAGTCATTTCTGTCATACCTATTAACCAGTACGGCTGGTCCGCATTTACAAGCTGAACCAGATCTTGAAATAGTAAAAAAGCATCTCCCGCACATGGTGGCAAACCTTATAATAATTAAATCAGTTATGTGTTATAAAAGATAAATGAAATGAACATTAATTGAAAGAAATAAATTATGTAATTACTATGTATGTAAACGTGGTCAATAAACTAACGAACTAACTAACTAACTATAACTATTACAGTATGTACAAACGGAATTAAGAGGGAAAACTTTTTTATTTTTTTTGCCAGTGGCGGCTCGTGACATTTAGAATAAAGTGAAGCATATTCATTGATTGACTAAAAAAAAAAAAGCAGCACAGGCAAAAATTTTCAAATTTTCAAGGTCAAACGGCTTTAAATGAATCTAGAAATTTTTAGTTGCATTTGCAATATTATCGAAAAACTGACGTTGGTGAGAACGATTTTCTTTTAGATTTTATAAAAAATAGAAATATTAGTTCAGCTCGTGGACTTCTGCGAACATCAACACACACCGTATATGTTCCAAAGAAGCATCATGGTTACGACAACCTCGCGTGATGATCCCAAAATTGTTAAATCCCTCCTTATTCCACACGTCCGACTTTACACCTATAAATTAAACACGGCATACAGAAAAGTTTTTTTTAAATAAACACTTCCACACAACCATTTATACTCCGAATACCATTCATTCCGAAACTTCTGAAGGTACACCTTGTTTGAACATATTTTTATTTCCAACAAATTAACCAGGTTTTGTCAGGAGCACAGAAAATGCTGTGGGGTATGCTTTTTGATATAGGATATCAAAAATTCTTATTAATAAAAGTTATTAACAATTTAAATTTATTATATGCCAAATTTGAAAACAGTTGGCTTAGTTTGATGTTCTTTGATTTGATAAATTGTTGAAGTTAAAAATGTGTCGTCGACACCTACAGTGAAGATAATCTGGGGCCCATCCTATACATATTAAATCTTGGAAGAGGATATGCTACTTTGTGTGTTTCTTGACTGACATAGTGTACAATTAAGTTTTAAAGATAAAATCTACTGCATGCTGGCCATCTTAAAACTACATTTTAGTACATTTGAACATAAGTTAATTTTTTTTAACAGGAATAAGTTTTTTTCATAAAATAGAAAATAAAACGTTTTCTCTTACCATTTGTGAAAGCACTATATTAAATTTTTTATTATTACACAAATATTGCTTTCATTAATAATTTATAATTTAATGAATTATTGAAGAAATATAATATACTATTACGACAGTAACATACCTTTTGGGGGTGCGCCACTTGGTATTTTTAAATCTTCAAAATTAACTGGACCACGTTGCGGCTGACTTTCCAATTTTGATAGTAACTCATCTTCTGCAACCACCCTTTCAAATACTAAATACACCAACTGTCGCACAGTTGCACCAGCTGTATTAATTGTTGTTGAATTTTTGGCAAAATGTAGACGAAAACAGAGTACTAGCGTCTAAAAAATATAGATATGCCTATTATATCTTGAAAATGGAAATGATGCATTCAAAACATAATATGTAAATGTAAAAAAACATATTTTATAAGAATATCTTACCCTAGCAAGTGTATCACCATGTACAATAGTATTTGTAGTTAATAACAACGTAACTGTTTGTAAAATTTTTACTTCTTCAATTCCTAATTCCATCAATGCCCACAGAGTATCAGTTATGTACAACGCACCTTTTTGGTCTATAAGTTGATGTGTTATAAGTTTCTGCATAATTTGCAAACAAAACTGCAACAAGTATATATTAAAATAATATGTTGTATAAAAGCAATTATCTACTTACTCGTATAAGTTTCACATCTTTAGTTTCACAACCTTGTGAAAGCGGGTAAATAATTTGGTTAACTATACAATAAATAGAGGTTTGCGGAGAAGTTTGAGTACTTTTCAATTTGTTTATAGCTTCTTCACATGCCTAAAATTTAAATAAATATAATGTACTCCCAGTATAGAAGAAAACATTACTTACTTCTTTCACTTGAGGGTACTTTTTCTTCGATTCCCCTGACAATGTTTTGAAATCACTTTGCAAGCTTTCAATAAATGCAGGGGAAATTTCAATATTGCTAGTAGCATTAGCTTCATAAGCCATTATTTTCCTGTAGAATATTTTTTTATTACTTAACCACGTACTGACAAGAAACTGAGGTGAGCTGGCACCTGTCAAACGTCACTCAACAATGTATATTTTCTAGCTATTTATGCAAAAATTAAATGGAAAATATTCTCATATATTCACTGCAGTACACGACTTATTATTGTAATATGTCATATTTCGAAACTTTCACCCATAATAATTTTTTGTTTTGTAAAATATTTCGGCAACATAAACAATACAATAATGAAGTTAGCAAGTAATCTTAAAACCCCACCTCTCATTTACTTTTCTTCTTCTTCTTCTGTTACAACTTTATTGGAAAACTTTATTTCCAATTCAAATTTCAAATTGTATAGAATAATGACCTAGGCAAAGAAATGGTTTCCTAATCGCTATCATTAGAGAAAAAGGTTAAAATAAATTTAAATTACTTTTATAAACGTGTATATCCTATTTTGCAGATATAAAAACAATACTACTATAGAGTAATATATTTAATCAATAATGGTAATTAATACCTGTGTAATATTGCAGAATTTGTTATATTGGGTAATTTTAATAATTTCACTAACGATGTTAATATTCCCACTACTTAAACAAAATAAAATAGTTACAACATTGCCAACCATTTACAACAAAGTTATAATAGCCACGCAACAACTTTGCGAGGAAACGTTAACTTGGCGGGTTTAGTTATAAACGTGTTGATAATTACTTTGCGACTTTTTTTTACATTTTACTCATTGTTGTTAAAACTTTAGTAAAAACTATTTTTAGCAATGTTATTAACTTTGCTACAATGTTAATTACGGAATTACTAGGAACTTTATTTTAAATGAAGGAAATAGCAGACTGATTGTCGTAAAACTTAGCAAATTGAACTTCCGTTGATGGTCTTTCCTTTCCTTTGTTAGGCTTTAGGTACAGCACAGCATTCAATCAATTATAATATTTCTAAAATGATTTATGACAAAATCGTAATTATAACAACATGAAACAGGCAGACAGAAATATTTTAGAGATTCTATTCCTTTTTGGTTCTGAAGCAATACAGTTTTTTAATACGAAAATAGTGCACAGCAGGGTAAATAATAAACATTCAAAATTGAATAGGATTATGAACAAACTGCTTTATTAAATAAGCCTTCTTTGACAACTTATTGTTAAAAGAAAGAAGAGAATCTTAGAACATATTACATCACACATTTTTCAAAGTCACTACATTTTCAGCAATTCCAATTGACGATTACTACCTCTAAAAACAAGAAATAATGATTAGTTGAAAATACAGGTGATGTCCACAATATGCCGATATGTTCAAATCTGCAAACTGTAATTGTATGAATTCTAGGAATTATTACCTGTCTTAGCAGAATGAAATAAGAAATAATGTTATAATCATAACGTTATCTTACTATAGGCTAAGTGTTATACATACAGGGTGTTTCAATAATAGTTGAGGAAAATGAAACAATAAATTATTTTTTTCAAAGTGGATGTTGAAATTAAGTTTCCATGGCTTTTTCCAAAGCCGGATCAAATAAAATAAAACACCCTCTATACATACATTTCTTATCTGAATTGTAAGTATTTAAAAATTTTGAAGAGGAAAAATTGTTTTAGATAGCTCTATTCAAAACAAAACTTTTTTGTCTTGAATAGCAATCAGCAAACTGAGTAAAATCAATAATTGTACTAACTAGAAAAGTACGACCAGCAACGAATGTGACAGAAAATATGCCGTTTTACAGCACCAAATTTGAAATATGGTATTACCTATCTTAGAAATACCAAGGCAATGTGGTTACATCAAAAGTTTATCATAAAGATACTGTTATGACAATTTATAAAAGAAAAATATATGTCAACGTTAGACTGAAACCTTGTTTGGATTTAAAAAAAAAAGTTACAGCGACGTAAATAATTCCGTTCCACTGCAGCATTTCCTTAATAAACTAGGTGCTAGCTTGCAGCGAGTTGCTATAATGTACTTGAGGCATATAAGGCCCATATTTAACTTAAATATGCAATAAATAGTATATTTTGTTATTTAGAAAGACAAAATCATGTTTTCTACAAAGTTTATTAATTTGAGTTATCACAAAAGTTAAACAAATAGTAGAAGAGGCAATCCTTTTAAAAACATTTGACTTTTTAAAATTTCTACCTCTGGACCTTATTAAACCAACGTGGTATAATAAGGCCCTCTTGTGAATTTTCAGTTTTTCACAATGACTCCTTAAAAACATTATTAGTAGGAAAAAAATATGTATAAAACTTTTATTACACATTTCCCTTAATAATCAACAAGGGCCTTTTAACAACTGGGGAGGTAAAAAGACTACTCAACAAGTTTAGTTAAGTAGGTACATACTATCTAAAACAAACTAGGTAAACCAAACTTCTCTTAAAAAACGAAAACTTCTCTTTCGATAACAAAAAATAAGACTACTTTTTTATTTGATTCAAAAAAATAAAGCCTAATTCGTTTCTTTATAATAACAATAAATGAGACTTCTCTCTCTTCGACTAGACTACAACTAAATTAGAATTAGACTTCTCTAACTAATCGCATGTGTGCGTGAAGAGTGACGTATCATCAAATTATTTTAGCGCGAATTTTTAAATGTGGGCCTTATTTGCCCCAGGTACCTTATGTAGTATTGCTGAAAGTTTCTTCTTTAGTGGGTTAACTGGGGTGGGGTGGGGTAAAATCAATTTTGGATTACATTAATTTAACTGGCTAAATCTTGAGCGCAAAGAAGTACCTATGTGAGTGAGAGAACGATTTAATTCCTTGCGGGACAGTAAAATATTTTGAGATCTATAAACGTGAAGCACTGAGAAGAAATGAAAAATTTACGTTAGAATAATTATCACGTGCATGGAGGCCACGTGCACCTGATATTTTTGATCTCTAGGAATGTTGAGTTTACCTAAAATCTGTGCTAAAAAGTATCATAAAAATACAGAATTTTTGTCACTTAATACCTACTTAATAATACTTGATAATCTGTTTAACAATTTGTGTACTAATTTTAACGGCTAATATCAGATTAGCATATGAATTAATCCAAATTTGCTGTTTTGAAATATCAGCAGTTATTTTACAACTGTAAAATAAGAAAAATTAGTAATCAAACATTAATCTATTGTCTATCGTTTCAAAGTAATAAAGTTCTATTGCACTTACACCATAAACTGAATTTAAATAACTCTGTATTAATTTAGTAAAAAGATAAACATTAATCTTTACAGTGGCGTACGCTATGGATCTTTTTAGTAGTGACACCAAAAAACACTCACCCCATAGTGCAATGTCATGAAAAAATTCTCGATATTTTTACTAGATCGATTTTCGACCTTATGTACTTTGGACATAAATGCCCAAAAAATGTTTTCTTTGTCATGGCATTAAATATCGTGATATTCTGGCAATATCTGAAATATTTAAGTTTCAAGTAACAAACTAAAAGAATTATTTACATGTTTGTCAACTTCGTGATTCTTGCTTTCTTTCTCCTAAAATTTGTAACAATTTTTGATATATTAATTATCATGCTTAAAAGCCCAGTTAGTATGAGAGTGCAATTTTTGTTTTTGTGTACTTTGAAGAAAAGACGCTCATCGAAAAGGGAGAAAATTTTATTTCCTCTAGCTATGTACAAAAAATGCTTTATGATGATGAACTTTTAGTTATCAGAGAAGTTCAAACCAGTGTGAAAAGGAAAATATAGGTATACAGTCGAGGTAAAGTGCTTACATGCAATAAGATCCACTTCTTATTTGTGGAAGGGCAAAATGGGCGGTGACTATTAGACGCCTTCATTATAGCCATCTTTCTCAATCGCACGGATTTCTATGACTTACTTTATCGCTCTCACGTAACGGCCGATGAACCATGGGGACTTTCCGACCCTGTATACCTGTTCTAAAGGATTAGGTTCATGATATATGCCATCACATGGCAGCTCTTGCCATTTTAGTCACACCAGTTTGTCTACTACAGACATGGCTTGCAAATGGAACAAACCAAAGAGTAGTACAGAAAATACGCTAATGATGACTGCGATGACATATCAATAATATCTCACCTGCGTATGAGGCTACTCTTTCCGAGCATGCGCATTAGAAATAACACGGCTAATTTTAAATTTTTACTTTACTTAAATTTAGGAATATTCTTTTATATCGCATTTTGTAAGTTTTAAGCACAATAATGTATCAATTTTACGACACACGTGTTGGTCGTTCTTAAATACTTCTAAATCCTTGTAAAAATAAATTAAATTGACGTTGTTCATTTTTATAGTAGGTATCTATGTAAATAGTACGCAAGGGTCAGATTCGGTCGTTACAATTTCAACTATGACGACTTGTTGCGGGTTACCTAAATATGTGACGTCACACTAAAAAAGTCTATTCTTTTTTCTAAAGGATTAAACTTTGAGTAAGTTCATTTGACTATATTTTTGAATGTGATAATTTTAGAATTATATTGTGGACCTTATATCTTAAGTTTATAAACATTCAAATATTTTTGGTGAAGTAGGTACCCTATGTCAAAATTTGTAGAAACACTGTATAATGACGTAATTTTATCTAGAAATTTATAATTTGCTATTGACGTCATACAATAATAATGAGATTGATATGATACCGGAACTAGGTTAGTTATTCTCTTGTTTCACTTTAATAAATTGACCTATGTGGGAAGAGAAAAAGGGGATGTACATTGGTGGTACCTATAACACAATTGCCAATTTAGCGATTACAAAAGCTGAACAAGAATTATATTTTAAAATCTACAAAATAATTGCACTGCATAATTTTTTGACTACTATGATACAAACTTATATAAAGTGAATTCAAACATACCTTATTATAAAGTTAAATATTTATATTAGCAAATTGCTTCTTTTTGCTTGGCGTTTCCGTCACTGACGTTTTTGTTGTAAATGTAACTCCCTTATAAATCATGAGATTAATTTTATTTGAGAGTGCTATATAAATTTAAGGAAAATTCGCGTAAATTATTTAAACCATTACGAGTTCTTAATCCGAAAATCATATAATTTCTAAATTGTTTATTTTTTTAATGAGCCTCATTAAGGATCAAGTAATTTTAAATGCCTCCAGGATATATAACGGTGTTCCGCTAGTATCACTATCAATTCGAAATTTTATTTTATTCACTTAAGGTCCATCAAAGTTTGATATATTAATACATTATTTCCGCCCTTAAATAACAGATTTTCTTATTAAATTATGATTATTGCAATTATTTAATCAGATCGCATTGTATAGGCAACGAAATAGTTTGACTTGCCTTTTCGCCATGGAAAGATCGTTTTGCTCATATTTTTTCTTATTAGGTTTAATAAATTGTGCTCCTCTTAATTTAAATGAACAATTGACTGTGGTAAAAGTGGATGCAGTACAAAATACGTGTAAGTATAATTCATTCTATTCTAGTTATTCTTCAATTAATAATAATTATCTATATTTCAGCAAAATTTAGTTACAAAAGTCCTATTTCAAACGACGAAGTGTTGAAACAAGGTAAATATAGTATGTGGATTGAGTAAATTATCAATTTACATCATAATTTGTAGATAAAAACTTTTGGATAAATATGGCAGAAAATACATTGAAGAAAAATCTAGAGCTTGAGGCCGAAGCTAAAGAATTTAAAAATGCAAAAAATATAATCATTTTCATAGGGGATGGAATGGGTGTGTCAACCATAACTGCGGGAAGAATTTATAAAGGTCAACAAGAGTTTGGCATAGCGGGCGAAGAACACGAATTTACATTTGACAAATTTCCAAACATCGCTTTAGTTAAGGTGGGATATTTGCTATCTATAGTACATGACATGCCTCTTCGATAATATGTATTTGGCATATGAAATTGTTAGAGAAAAACGTTATTAGTACATCGTATATTTTTCCACTCATATTTAATTAGAAATATGTATAGAGCCGTGTCATGTAAAATATGAAATTTTATTAACGACTGAAGACTAATTCCGCCGCAGTAAATTAAGTACCAATGCACTATATTTAAATTTTATATCATTTTGCCACAATTATTCAGTCAATGTTTCAATTGAATGACGTGTATCAAGATTAATCAATTTTAGACCTATAACGTGGATATGCAAGTGCCAGATTCTGCAGGAACAGCTACTGCGCTTTTTACAGGTACGTAAAACCAAATATTATTATGTTCTTACTTACAATTAATTCAATTTCTTTACAACAGGAGTGAAGACTAGATATAAAGCAATTGCTGTCGATGTTAACTGTAATAAAACTACTTTCGATAAAGAAGTTTATGAAAATTCAAAATTGGAGTCTTTAATGACTTGGGCTCAAGCTGCAAACAAGGATACAGGTATTAACGCATTCAATACATTTTTATAGGATGATCCACTCATTTGTTGGCCATTATCTCATTGCGACTATTTGTAAGAACCATTTGTGTATAGAACCATATTTTAAAAATATTAGAACACCATACAGATGTCGACAAATAGCACCAGTTTAACAAATGCTTATTCTAAATTATCTTTAGGGATAGTAACAACCACAAGAATCACTCATGCAACACCAGCTGCGACTTACGCTCATGCTACTTATCGGTACTGGGAGTGTGACGAAGAATTACCCTTAGATGTTGTGGGGAATGCGAAAGATATTGCAAGGCAGCTAATAGAAGATGCACCTGGAACAAATTTTAAGGTAAAGTTTCGATCTTAAAAACAAAATTTAGGCGATATCATAGCTTTCATTAGGTTATTCTTGGCGGAGGCCAACAACTTTTGGGTCACACTTCAGAGAGTACAGGTCCGTGTACTAGGCAAGATGGTCTGAATTTGACAAATGATTGGATTCAAAATCATTATAATTCTAATTACGTTTTTGCCACTAATAACGAGGAGCTGAGTAATGTTAACGATGATACAGAATATTTATTAGGTAATTTTCCTAGTACTGTATGGACATATTTGATAAATCCGTATATTATAGGTTTATTTTCACCTGGACACATGCCGTATGAGTTAGTTAGAGACAACGGACCCACTGGCGCACCAAGCCTTACTGATATGACTAGAAAGGCTTTACAAATTTTAAAAAAGGGCCAAAATGGATTTGTTCTTATGGTAATATTTGAGAAAATAATTAATAGGAACCTATTTCTGATTATTTCTTAAAATTTCAGGTGGAGGGTGGTTTAATTGATCAAGCCCATCATAAAAATTATGCAAGACTGGCTATGGCCGAAACTGCTGAATTTGATAATGCTATATCATTAGCTCTTAATGAAACTGGACCAGATACTCTTATAATAGTTACAGCTGATCACTCCCATTCATTCACCATGGAAGGCTACAGCAAAAGAGGAAATGACATATTGGGTTGGTTTGTATTTCCTCATGTAGTTATTTTTAAATGAATGGGTCCGTTATTCAGTATAAACAAACAAATTCTAACTCTAACAGTGTTTTTTTTTTAGGATATACCGATGAAGCGGGTGAAGAAGACAGGCCATTTTTAACTCTCGCGTACGCTAATGGGCCAGGTTTTGATTACCACTATGGAATAAATGTATCCAATAACACCTATCCATGGCGTGACACAAGGTACGACGAAAACAGGTTAAATGATCCTTATTACGCCCACATTGGAGCGTTTCAATCTAAAGATGACACACATGGTGGCGAAGATGTAGCCGTTTTTGCGAAAGGACCTCATGCCAATTTAATCCGTGGGGTCGTCGAACAAAATTATATAGCTCATTTGATTAGCTATGCTGGTTGTTTCGGCCCCCAAGCCTATTTAAATCCAGATTGTGACTTACAAAAGACAAGTGGTGGATCAATTTTCGACATATCTGTTGGTGTTGTTACATTACTTTTATTAACAACTGTAGCCAACATGTTATGACTGTTAAATATATAGTCTCGATGGAAGACTAAATAAAAAAAGAAATTAAGTTGAAATTGATAAATAAGTACAAATATACAATTTTTGATGAAGTAGAAGTAATGTCAACATTAAGAGGTTCTTAATAAATTTTATACCAATTGAGTTTTATGTTTTGTGTATTATACGAGTTATTATTGTGTACCCAAGTTATCTACGTATGTAAGACAGTCATTTCAAATATTTCATCTATAAACTGTCTGTCTATTTGTCAATTTTTGCAAAAAATAATAACTTCGTTTTTCTATTGCAAATATCTTTCACCTTTATAATTTATTAAGTTTGTCATATTCAATACAAAATATAAAAATAAACTGATACGATACTGTGCCTGTGATTAAAATAATCTATGCAGTAACAATTTTTACTACATAAAAAGTTTTTTTAGCGGGTTGCTTAAGAAAATAATTTGATAATCTATGTACATACACTATGAGATTTAAGTATTAACTAAATTTGATGTGATGCAATTGTTAAAATATATTATAATCTAGTGATAATAAATGTGGGATATCCACTATTGTACCTACCTACATATTTAAGTACAGGTAAGGATATATTGGGTACCTACACGCCATAAATTTAAAAATAAAATAAAGAAAATTTTAAAATGTGAAGATTGATGTCAAATATATATTGTTTATAGAAAAGAAACTTATTTCAATACGTTACCAATTTTAAACGCAATACCACACATCACGTGATGGGATGTATAATGATGTAAGCATAGGCGCCGACTTCTCGGGTGCTCCGGGGCTCAAGCACCCGCAAGAATTATTATCAGTTATGTTAGAATAGTATATTTCTCTGCTACCTACTTTTACGTCTACATAGTACATACATATATTTATATTTTCACTTGTTATTCCATAGAAGTTTATTTTTTGTTAAAATTATTAAAATTGTTAAATTTTTGAAATTTGTGTCGAAACACTTAATTAATTTCGATATATTTTTTAAAAAGTTTTTCATAAAATCTAATTCGGAGAAATACGTATTTTAAATCTTTTACCTCATGATATTTCAAATGACGACTCATTTCTCTTGCTTTTTAATGTGATCTGGCAAAAAATGCTTATAAGGCAACCGAGCACTCGACAAAAGTTTTAAAAGTCGGCGCCTATGGATGTAAGAACATAGATTAAAAATAAAGAATATCTAATAAACTTTATGTTTTCCAATCTATGACAACCATAATATAAGAGCTGTTTTCTTTTACTCATGATTTCGGAATCATAACGCGTTACGATCCGAAATCTATCAATCTGATTGGTTTCCATCGGATCCTAACACGTTATGATTCCGAAATCATGAGTAAAAGAAAAGGGCTAAGGTTGCTATGCGCATGAACCTGGATCCACATGCGTGCGCGATCACGGATCTGTTGTAACCACGTGACCATTTGCATCCAACCCGTTTTGACCTTTAGAGTAGTGATGGGCATAATCGACCAATTTTGATAATCGAGTTATCGGTAATCGAGTACTTCTAATAATCGAGTGATCACTCGAGATACGAGATATTGATCGTTTTCATCCCAGCGGCGCACAAGTATGTTTGTATTAGTCATATATTACTTATAAGCGTAGCTAAAAAAAAAAAAAACTCACGCACTTCAAAACCTAACTACTTTTTCGTTTTATTCTAAAAAAAA